GTAAAAAGCTTTAAATATAGACTATTTATAAGAATAGCTCCTGTCTTTCAAAAGACATACTGCTAAAGCTTGGATGGAAAACATCAGCAGACCAGGCCTCAAACCAGAAGCTGTGCCTGGTCCAAAGTAGGAGGTAAAAGATGAGGGTGATAACATGATAGAAAAAATCGAGATTACTGAAATTCCTCTGAGTTCACGATGAAGCGGGGGCTCTTTCACCTGCTTCTTTCAAGCAGGAGAAGGCCTTAATTTTAATCTATTCCTCATAGACTCAGGGGCAATTACTTTTGTTTGGTTAGTCGTGCTTTTTTAAACTAGTTTTTATCATCTTAATTGTATTAAAGGAGGATACTCTAAAATTGATTAGATGGCCATTAATATTATTCTTACAGTTTAATTTGTGCTTTATCTAAAATACTAAATCTGAAACCACATACTTTCTATCTCTCCTTTCTTTCAAAGTGTAATTTAAGATCTAAGTCAAACGTTGGTCTTTGGCTTATTGATCTTCATTATGACCAATGAAAACATATTGAGCTGCCTTGCATGGTGAGGGGAAATGAAAATATATATCGATTAAAAATCAGTATGTGGCTCAAGGAGTAGGGCGCTAGCCCCATATGCCGGAGGTGGCTGGTTCAAACCCAGCCCTGGCCCTGGTCCCCCCCCCAAAAAAATCAGCATGTGTCATTTTTCTGGTTCAGAGAATCTTTAAAATACACTTGAATGCATATCCTGAGATGGAGTTACCCATCAAAAGATATATACATTATCAATTTCACATGTGCCAAGACAATGGCTTGGAGAAAGTATGTTAAGTCATATTAGATATGGTAGCCGATGAATGGAAAGAAAAAAGATGAAAAGGGATAGAAAATTTAAGCACAATGAGTGCTTAATGAGCACCTCCCTTCAAAGGACTAAGAAGAAACCAGTCTAAGCAGGGGCTTGCATTGCTGTCTCTGCCCTGGGAAAACACCAAGGTCGTTTCAGGGCTATTTAGTAGGAATCCTGCAAGGATATACCAGGGGTGCCAAAAAAATGCATACACATTTTAAGTGAGGTTATGCATGAATAACTTCGAAGTAATTGCTACCGTAATTCAATGTGTAGTTTGATATTTGCTCAAAAGATGGTGTCAATTAAACCAATGCTAATATCACCATGTGACAGGTGTGAACAGAATAGTTTTTTCTCTTAAAATGTGTATACAATTTTTTGGACATACTCCCCTTGCACTGCTTCGTTAGACCATAAACATGGACGAGCCACACAGACGTGTTTGTTTCCGTTTCCAAACATTCTGACTGATTAAAATGACAGCTCTCTCTACGTTTGCCACTTGGAATTTGGCTTCCTATAAAAAAAGTGCTTTTTTCTGGGATGAATCGATCTATTGACATCTATTAAGATAAAACCCATTCATGCCAGAGGCCTGAGAGCCTCTTAGTCATGGGCAGAAGAGAGTGAAGGGACAGTGACCCACCCCTTTCCTCCCTACCATGTTTTATTTCCTTTTCCTATGACTTGCAGAGTAAATTTGCTGAGGGTCCTGAAAAGGTCATTAGGGCTTAAAATGGATAAGTAGATGATTATAACCTGTTTATTTGGTCAATTTAAATGCTAGGCTCTGAAGCCCTTTGGAGTCCTTAACAAATTGCAGGCCAAAGGAGAAAGGATCCAAGAGGGCTGTTCAGAGAGCCTGAGTCCAGCTCAGGGCAGCCTCACAGGGCCAGCATGGTGACCTTTGAAGTCAGAGTCCTTGCCCTTCCCTCTTTTCCAGGTGCTCACACCCCTGCTTGCATCCCCAGAAACACCTCACACTGCGTGGATGCTTCAGAGTGGGCTCAGGCTGCACCGAGGCTGCTGTAACTGGGTCTCTAGCTGCTAAGCTGCCAGGAACGTGGTGGTTCAGAACACTGCAGTTAGGGGCGGAGGGAGAGGCCATAACAATTCTTAAGAGTACTTTTGTTTGACCTTCCCCTAGCTCTCCACCTACAGCCTCTCCCCACAACTTCAGAGGCAGACAAGTTGGGTGGCAGGGCTGTTCTCCAGCCAACCTTCTCAGCTCCCTCATGTGTGCCCTCAGGCAAGTGACTGACCAAGTGGTCTGTGCCTTGGTGTTCCCCTCCATGAACTGATTAAGGAAAGTATACTTGCCTTGAGGAAGTTATGGTGGCTTAATAAGGGTATATACCTAAAACAGAATAGTGCCTGGCAGCTCACACCAACAGTTAGAATGGTGCCAGGTGTGGCGGCTCACACCTGTAATCCTAGCACTCTGAGAGGCCGAGGTGGGAGGATCCCATGAGCTCAGAAGTTCCAGACCAGCCTGGACAAGAGTGAGACTTCACCTCTACTAAAAATAGAAAAACCAGCCAGTCATCATAGCAGGTGCCTGTAGTCCCCACTGCTCAGGAGGCTAAGACTGTAGGATCTCTTGAGCCCAAGTTTTTGAGGTTGCAGTGAGCCATGATAATGCCACTTCATGCCAACCCAGGTGAAAGACACTTCATTAAGAATTCCAACCAAGACCTGGTGACAAGGCCATTCGTGCATTCAATCATTCCTGACATACATACCAAGCACCTCCTGTGTGCCAAGCATTCTTCTAGGCCCAGGAATACAGCAATGAACAAAACAATTCTTGACCCTCACAGAGCTGTCTACATTCAAGGGTGATCACCAAAGTACAATGAAAAATCACAACATGGTATAAGATGTAATAAGCACTAGGACATACATAAAGCTGTGATACGCTGGTGACAAGGACCCTCCTTCAGATAAGGTAGGCTTTGAGGAGGTGACATTTGAACAAGTCCTTTTGGGATGACATGAAGGAAAATACCATGTGGTTATGTAGCAGAAGTACTCATTCAGCAGAGGCCACAGTCAGTGCAAAGGCCCTGAGGTAGGGTGGCAGGTAGCCACTGAACACAAATAGAATGAACAAAAGAAAAGGGTGACTGGCAGGAGGGATGTCAGAGAGGGAGCCAAGGCTCAGATCATGGGGAGCCTTATAGGTCAATGGCAATCGTTCCAGTTGGTGAGCCCCTATTAGGCTTGGGTTCTCACCACATTTTAATCTTCATAAAGCCCCTCGAAGTAGGTCTGATTACTGCCTTATAACATTGCCTGAAGCCACCCACTGAATGGTAGAGACCTCCGGGGATTTTAGAACATGAGGTCTCTTCCACCTTGCTCGTAACCACTGCTCTTATTCCCTCTCCATTAGTTGAAACATATTCCTAGAACAGAGAAATCTATTTTTAAATACTATGACATATTTATTTATCAGCTTCATTATTTTAAAATACTTACCTTAAACTTTCTTAATTCCAAGTAAATTCTGATACCAAATGTGTGTTTTCTGCACCCAGGCCTTAACATACAGCCTACAATAGACTCCTTTCTCTCCAAAAGTGTTAAAAACCAACTTAAAGCACAGCTGTACCAATAGGGGAAGATGAATAGAAATTTAACAACAGATCAACAGCCCATAATGTTTGGATTTCATTTTATAAAACAGAGCTGTCTATCTTTGTTTGGTTTATAATACTTGGTCTAATTTGTGTGAAAATGTGCAGATATTAGGTTAGTTATTGGAGAGTTCTGGAATTGTTTCCCAAATGAAACGAAGCCATAAATAATTCTAAAAATATTTTATAGTAAAAACAGAAATGAAAGACTGAAAAATGTAATAAAAATTCTGTGGTCTCTGCTAAAAAGGGAAACATAAAATAAATTGAACTTCATTTCCTATATTTTTATTATCCACAGTCAGAAGTGAGATGAAGATGCCCTCATTTTAGCTACAGATGGGTCTATAAATAGACAAGGTAAAATAAGTAGGAAATGAGAATGATTGAATCAGTCCAAAGGAATCAAGGAGTTTGCTCTTGGAGGGCATGCCCAGATTTCCTACTGAGTCTTGTCCTGCATAGAAAGGAATTCACTTTCTAAATCTGGCGTTGGCCACTACTGCAGATTCCCATTAGAAAGCTCCTGCTTGGTTAGTTCAATTATAGTTTATCATTTTATTGCCCGCTATTATAATCTAGAGATAATCTGATTAGCCCTAATGTCCCAAGAAGAGTAGGACAGTTTTCTGCTCATTATTAGTTATGTTACCTTTTAGGGATGTCATAGCGAAGTGCCACGGCCTGGCTTAAACAACGGAAACTTACTGCCTGGCAGTTTTGGAGGCTGGAAGTTCAAGACTGAAGTTTCAGCCTGGTTGATTCCTTCCGAGTGCTTTGAGGGAAAACCTATTTCGTGCCTCTTTCCTGGCTTTTGGTGACTTGCTGACCATCTTTAGCATTACTGGGCTTGTGGGTTCATCACTCAGATCGAGGCCTTCCTGGCACTCTCCCTGTCTGCATGTCTGTTTCTGTGTTCAAATTTACCCCTTTTGTAAGGACATATCCGTATATGAGCTTGGATGATTAAGTTCACCAACTCATCATAGAAAAAGTGCTCTGAAGGGTGGACTAGGCTTTGGTGTCAGTGCACAGCTTCCAAGGGGAGTACTTGGAAGGTGACCATAGTGGTATTCAGCAATGAGGGGTGTAGTACTTTTTCTAGGATGAGTTCAAGAACTTAACTGTCTGACCTCAGAGAGTTTGAGCCCACCTGAATGAACTCATCTTTATTTGGTCATCTGCAAAGACCCTATTTCCAAATAAAGTCACATTCACAGGTACTTAGGACTTCAACATTTTCTTGGAAGACACAATTCAACCCATAAGATAGTGTGAAATATTAAAAAAAAAAAAAACCCAACTCTCCCCCTTCATTGGATCCTCTTGGATATCTTTAAGGATTGTGCTTAAGGACAAGAGGATCCTTCCAGTAAACTAATCATCTCTTCTTAGGTAGGTGTTACATTTCCAGCCGAGCTCTCCTTCCCGTGTGTGTGTGTGTGTGTGTGTGTGTGTGTGTGTATAGTTTTCTTTGATTTCTGGCCAGCACATCCTATTTAACTAGTCTTTTGTTAACAGGGCAAACCTGGAGATAAGCTATGCCAAAGGACTTCAGAAACTGGCAAGCAAGCTGAGCAAAGCTCTACAGAACTCAAGGAAAAAGTAAGTCTCATGGCAGAGGCAAGGCAAAATCATTCTTCCAAATAGTAAAAAGTGACTTCTGTTCATTTCTAACTTCCTCTGACAAATGTGGCAGGTATGTAATGTCAAGCAGGGATTTCCAGCTTTGTGCCAGGGACTGTTTTAAAGACTTTTGGATATTCCGAATTAATCCTCACAACAAGCCTTGAGAGAGATGATTATTATCCCTATTTACAGACAAGGACCTGAGACTTGGAGAATTTAAGAAACTTCCCCCAACCACACAGATAGTGAGTTTAGAGCTGGATTCATCCTGGGTTTTTCTGACTCCTGAGGCCACATTCATAACAGGCCTTGGGGAGGATAATTAGCTTGGAAGGTCAAGTCAGAAGCCTTGAGGTCAGGAAGTATGAATTCTGCATTAGCTCTACTCTGTGACATTTGATGAGTGACCTGGCCTCTCTGTGCCTTGATTTCTCCTTCTATTAGATGGAGTAAAACTATGTGCACTATTGCCTGTGTGTGTGTGTGTGTGATGGGGGTGCATATAAAATGAGATAATAACGTATGTAAAGAGCTCAACACATGAGTGGCTAACAAAAGGTTGGCTCACATTCTTCTCAACACATTGTAGCACCAAGAATGAAGTAGATTCCTTTTTAGCAAGGAGAGAAGAAAGATATTAGTATTTGAAAAATGGTTCATTAGCAATAATTGGCCACGAAGATTTTTGACTAATGCATGCAATGTGACCCTAAACTGGTGGTGCCATTGCAGAGATCTCTTTTGGTGAAGAAAGAGAGAGGGGAAGGGAAGGAACAAGGAAGACTTGGAAAGTTCAAATTCCCATTTCTCCTGAGGCATCATCAGTAATAGAAAATGGCTTTGAAATTGCTCTCTTAGCTTTATTTGTATTTTTAGACAGTATTTTAGTAGACTGCAAAGGAGCCAGAATAGTACAGTGGTTGAGGATAGATAGATTTTCATTCACACTGCCCGAGTTTAGATTCTTTTAATAGTTTTCCCCCTTAACAGCTGAGTGACCTAGGACAATTTGTATTCTCATGAGCTCTTTAAAATGGTAAGACATGTATTTTATCTATCTCATATAGTTGGTATGAGGATTCATTGAGGTAAGATAAGAAGTGTGCTCAGCAGAGCCCCTGACATGAAGCAAAAGCTTCATAAATGTCCCTTAGGATTTTGATTCTAATTATCTCCTAAAGAATGAGGCTCGGTGCCTGTGGCTCAAGTGGCTAAGGCGCCAGCCACGAACATCCAAGGTGGCCAGTTCAAATCCAGCCCGGGCCTGCCAAACAACAATGACGGCTGCAACCAAAAAATAGCCAGGTGTTGTGGCAAGCGCCTGTGGTCCCAGCTACTCGGGAGGCTGAGGCAGGAGACTCACTTGAGCCCAGGAGTTGGAGGTTGCTGTGAGCTGTGATGCCACAGCACTCTACCTGGGGGGACAGCTTGAGGCTCTGTCTCAAAAAAAAAAAAAAAGAAAGAAAAGAAAAGAAAAAGAATGAGATGTGTTGGGGTAGAGGGAGGGGTGTGCTACCCTGGAGTATAACCAGCTACTCCAAAGAGTTGGCATGTCCAGAATGTTTGGTTAACTTGAATTAGCATGATATTTAATGCTAAATATTAATTAATTTTGATCTATACCAAAATCTGTGTCAGATGCTTGTACAGACAGCTCAGGTAATTTCTGGTTTAAAATATCAGTGAAGTGAGGGTCAGAGAAACCAGCTGGTTCTCCCAAGGTCATGCAGGAAACAAAAAGGGAGCCCCTACATTTAGCTCCAGCTGCCCCTGAGGCCCCACACTCAGTGTCCTGCCCTCCTGCCCAGCTCCTCTGGGGGGCAAATGTCAGATTCTCTTCTCACAAGTGTGCCTGACTTCCTGTTAAAAAATCAACTCTATTGAGGTTTAATTAGCATGCAATCCTAAGCACCCATTTTAAGCATATGTTCTGGTCGGTTTGCATAAATACACTGCACAGCCACCACTAAAATCAAAACACAGACATTTTCATCACGCCAAAAGGCTCCTCCTGCCTATTTGCATCCTTCCCCCCCACTCAGCCTTAAGCAACCATGGATCTGCTTCCCGTCAGTATAGATTGGTTCTCTCTTTTCTGCCCCTGCCTACTGTGGTAAGCATACAGCAGGTGCTCTCTTGTGGCTAGTTCTGCACCTGGTTCAGGGTGTGCAGGAAATTTGGCATCTTTGGTCTACTCTCATTCTCAGACTGCAGGGTGCCTCTGAGCCATTCTGATCAGGCAGGGATGAAGATTCTCCCCTCCCTCTTCATCAAAATCTACCAAGGCCCCTCTCTCTGGGGATCATTGATATGATTAGACTTACCGTCCCGACCTACAAAGGCAGACTATATGGGCCACTAGGAGCTGGGGAGTGAAATAACTTAGGAGACCTGGAAAAATAGAGTTTGACCCCCCTACTTAGGTTAATTAATTGGTAATTTATTTTACCTGCTGCAGGGGCTGCTGCTCCGAGAGACAGTCAGCAGCCCCGAGAGACAGTCAGCAGCCCAAGTGGGAGGGTGAGTTGCCTTTTATAGGCGTTGTGCAAGCATATTACAGAAGCAAAACATGCTGGTTAAGGGGGGGTTACAACTCGGGTAGTCATGGATACAGCAATGGAACAATAATTAATACAGCTTCGGTTGACAATGGATACATCTCATATCATAATGGTTATGGTTATACAACAGTAATTAATCAAGTCTCAGTGAGTTTCCCACCATTGTTTGTCTACTGAGAACTTGGGGGTTTTGTGAAACTTGGGACTTTCTTCCTTGTACCTGAAGCTTGTTCTTGGCAACCCTAGTGGGGAGGAGGGGGCCTGGGAACGTGGCTGGGAAGCAGTGTTCTCAGCCACCATGAGGGGAAAAGGGACTTGCCTTGTTCCCGAGTTGACTCTGGGGGGCGAAGGGAGGAGGAGGGAAATGGGCTGGAGTGGGGGGGACAGGTGAGGGCTGGGGAACAGGAGTGGGCAGGGGAAAGAGGGCTGGGTTATAACAGGGAGTGAGAGAAAATGACTCTCACCTTCAATCCTCCCTCTATGCAGTAAGAGAAGGGCAGAGCTATCCTTCATGTTAAATTAGGATACCACCCGCAGGACCATAAAATAGCTGAGCTGTTGACCTAAAACCCAGCAAGGAAGAGGAGCTGGACTCCAACCCCAAGAGCAGCAGCAGGATGTGACCAGGGCTCTCAAGCCCTTTATGCTGTAATTTCTCTGAGTCTCAGTTTATTCATCTGTGAATGAGGAGCCGAAAAGACTGTCTGTGACCCTAGCATCCTATCACCCCCCTGGTCCCACCTAAGGCTATGTTATTTCCCTGATTCTCTACAGATATGAAATGCGAAATGAAAATCTGAATGAAAAATGACTGGGAGAAAAGCAGTCTATATAATGAATAGAGTGCGAATAAATATATTGGCAGAATTGAATCTCCTGGAGAAATTGAAATAAGGTTAGAGAATGCATGCAACTGCGGACTGCAGTGTATCAGACGCAATGCCTTCTTTCTCAGAGTTTCCTTGAAAAATGATGCCCACTTTTCCCCTCTGTTTTTGCCTCTAGCTGTCTCAGCAGTGCCTGGGCCTGGGCCTCAGAGGGCATGAAATCCACAGCTGACCTGCATCAGTGAGTGCCCCACCCTGCCTTGCTCCAACTCCAAAAGGAGTCGTACATATGTAAGGTGGCTGTGCCGCAAATATTGCCTTTCCAACTTGCACTGAATATGTACGCCATGGCACAGCATTTTATTTCCCCGGAAAGTAATTCGGAAAGTAGATGTACATCCTAATACTGTGCTAGTGTGTCTTTGGTGTTTTATTTCCAGAAAACTTGGCAAAGCAATCGAGTTGGAAGCCATAAAACCGACTTATCAAGTCCTGAATGTACAAGAGAAGAAGAGAAAATCAGTGAGTCAAAACTTTTCCTTTCTCCCCTGTTGAAAGGTTTATGTCTTCGGCCCAGGGAGCAAAAGGTGACCCAAGAGTAGTTCTAGGTTTCAAGAATTTATTATAAAAATGAGTAAAAACACAGATCCAAGAGTGGTACACAAGGATGTTTATTAGAGCATTGTCTATAGTGGTGAAAAACTGGAAACTACATCATTCGAAAAAAGATGATGACATATTCAAACAACGGAATACTTTACAACCATTAAAAATCTTATTGTAGCCAGGAGTGGTGGCTCACGCCTATAATCCAAGGAGTCTGGGAGGCCAAGTTGGGTGGATTGCCTAGACTCACAGATTTGAGACCAGCCTGAGCAAGTATGAGACTCCGTCTCTAAGAAATAGCCAGGCATGTGGCGGTCGCCTGTAGTTTCAGCTACTTAGGAGACTGACGCAAGAGAATTGCTTGAACCCAAGAGTTAGAGGTTGCTGTGAGCTGTGATGCCAGGACACTGTACCAAGGGTGACAAAGTAAGACTCTATCTCAAAAAAAAAAAAAACTTATTGTATACCAGTGGTTGTCAACCTTCCTAATGCCGTGACCCTTTAATACAGTTCCTCATGTTGTGGTGACCCCTGAGGGTTGTATATGAATTTAATCACATGGGAATTTTTTCACGATATAATGTTAAAAAAGTGGAATGAAGACATCTAATAGCTAATATCACCTCAATTTTATAAAATAAATGTGTATACTTGCATGGAAAAAAGAACTTGGAAGAACCTTCCCAAGATGTTAATAAGAATTATCTTTAGATAGGAGAATTGGGGGTTATTTTAAATTTCATTTCTTGTATATTTTAGTATTTTTATTTTTTATGATTTTATTTATTTGTAAATAGAATGATAAGCACAATTTTTTTGAAAGATTCTTTCTATGCATAGCAGCTTGAAATTTTATAAAGGTAATAATGGGCAAATCTTTCAAATTAAAGAAAGCTAAACAATTCTTTCAGGGGCACCTGGACTCTTCCAGCTTATCCTCTGGTCTTAAATAAATATTGTTTGGCTTTGACAGGACTGGGGTCACAGTCACTATCTGTTTCAGGGCCAGGTGCAGGTAAGACATTCCTAAGCCATAACAGGTGGTTCTTGTGAAGGGAAGGGATAGTAGCTAAGGGGGGGTTTCAAGGCCAATTAAGCCAGAAGAAGCAGGTGCTAGTAGTAGCATCTCAGAAGGATGAGGAGATTGAGGAGATTTGAGAATGCTGTGATGGAAGAGAAATTATTAAAGAAGTATTCAAACTCACTAAACCGAGTCGGCAAGTGTAATTGCTGTTTGTATGGACATACACGTGTTTGACCAGATGGATACTGTCTCTAGGTCTAGGGTGATGGATAGAAATGTATAAGAATTTCTAGAAAGCAATATCATCTTCTGCCTTTGCAAGCCAACCTAATAAAAACAAAAGAATCGTGTATATCTTATTAATTACAAAATATTTTCCATGCTACATAATAATATGATAGTTATTAAGTTAGTTTCTGTAGGGCTTACTATACATTAGGCACAGGGCTGGAATGACCACGACGCCCCCTACCGTGTTGCTCCAGTCTATCATCTTTTCTAAACTGCCTCGTCCACTGAAGTCCACCATCCCATTTCGCTGTCTCACAAAAGAGAAAAAATTAGATTTTATTTCAAAAATTACACTTGTTCCACATTCCAGCCACATACATAATCAAAAGTGGCATAGTGCATACAATTATTTTCACTGTATTTGTTATAATAAATCATGCACTAAATTTAACTAACTGGTAGAAATAAAAGCATAGTGCTTGCTAAATCTCAGTGTGGTCGGGTAGTGCCTGATCTATTGGGACTGTGGCCCAATAGATCCAGACCTCCCTGAGAGGTCGCCTAGATTCCATCACTATTCCTATCATTCCTTTGGCTATGTAAAAGTGGAGGGTGGGAAGGAATATAATTATAATTAAGGATTCAATTTCTTTGAAATTAAAGAAATATTCACTTTAAGGGCAATGGAGACACTTAGCAAAATTAGCACCAGTTCTCATGGAGTTGAAGTTTTCCCCACATGGATTGATGTTGAAGAGCCTGTGATGGGACCTGCAGTGATCCAAACCATATAAAGGCCTCCTCCACATATGTATGTGGTATTTACATGGTTATAGATTGGAAGTCATTATTTTACCAAACCCTGTCAAGAAATACTTGACATGGGGATGACAGAGTTCAGCTACTTCTTCCCATGTACATGGCCATTGTAGGATTTTGAAATTCCCATGAATTATGAGAGCAATTGTGCCAGAGTTAATAAGCCAGCACTGTGACTCTCTCAGTTCAGGCTTCTACAACAACATACCATAAACCAGGTGGCTTGTAAATAAGACAAATGTATCTCTTTCAGCTCTGAAGCTGGTAAGTCCAAGAGCAGACACCAGCCGCTCAGGTGTGTGGTGAGGGCTGGTTCATGGCTGGCTGTTTACACTCACCGTCACCTCATGTGGCAGAAAGGACAGGCAGCTTCCAGAGCCTCTTTTATACATTTATTGCAGTGACTAACCAAGAAATCAATACATGTTTTCCTTTTTTTCCTCTTCAATAGCTTGATAATGAAGTTGAAAAGACAGCAAATCTTGTCATTAGCAACTGGAATCAGCAAATTAAGGCAAGTATTCACAAATACCATTTGTGTAAACTGTTTTAGGATCGAATTTTGTTACTTTTATACAAACACAATCCCGTGTTCCAGTGTTAGTAATTCTAAGTCTTAACTGAAGAGAAAAATGTTTCCTCACCTGAGTTATTACAAACATATTCACCCAAAGCAATAGAAGTGCATGACTCTAAATAGGATTATGATTTATAACTAACACATAACATTTATCATGTGCCAAGTGCTATATATTTATATATTTAGTCATCATAACAACCCAATGTAATGGGACCTTGCATTGTCCCATTTTACAGATGAACAAATGGAGGTGCAGAGAGGTTCGGTAATTTGCCCAAGGTTACAAAGCTTGTTGATGATTGAACCAACAGTTGTTGCAGGTCTATAAGTTCTTGGGTTCCAAGGTCACCGCTCTTAATCATTATACTATATACTGTATAATTTGCAACTTAGGGCAAAGTGACAAACATCAACTGAGGTCTTTTTTTTTTTTTGTAGAAGGGTGTTAGTGACTCCACCTCACTAGTAAGGGTGGCACAATGAGGAGTGGGCAGCGGTATGTGAGGGAGGATGTATAGATCAGCTCTACAAGTATGCGCTGTCCCCTTCTTGTGCATAACTATGATTCTTATTTTCAAATAATTTAAAATTTAGTTAGCTAGACAACATATGTTCAGGAAATAGTGAATACAGTCTAAGGAGAGGAATTATGATCTGGTGTGGGAAACTAGAGCATACCACTATGGGTTCTTAAGCAGAGAAAATGACAGATGGACTCCATATGTACAGAAGATTATTCTAGAGCAATCTAGTATAGGAAGAATTCATTTCAGGTGCAAAGGACTAGAAACCAGGAAATCTGCTAAGAAAACTCAATGAACTCCATTGAGGAGGCTTGCATTCCAGAAGCTGAAATTTTCCTTTTTCATCTCCAAAGTGTTAATGCCCAGAAGACCCTTTATAAATAAACAGCCACTAGTGCCAAATAACTAGTGATGGATGCCTCAGAAATACATGGCCCCAGCAAGCTTCGGAGACATCTGCTGAAACTAAGGCCTGACTCCATGAGATCAAGGACAATTAATAAATGTTTAAGATAAATGAATCTCTATACAAACCGTCAATATTTTAATGTCCCAGAAACAGTATCCAGTCATTTGTTTTTAAGTGTTGCTCTTGCTTTTATGAGCTTTCTGTAAAAGGGTTTGTTTCTAAACATCCATTTTCTTTAAATATTTAGCTTTCAATCCAATACAATGGAACTAATAGCAAAAACAATGTCCAGAAGCTGCAAGTGCCTCCAAGAACCCAAAACATCTTTTATTGTTTCCTATTTTCTACCAAGTCATTTTTCTAAATAAAAAGACTTTTTATGAAGAGGGATAGAAAATTTAGAGAATATAAAATTCTTGGATGGTAATCATTTTCTGTCCTGGTTATAATTCAAGGGATTCAGTATGTCAGTGATGAAGCACAGGCTTCTCAGAGCCACAGATGAAAAGCCTTAGAGCACCAGGCAGCTTGCCTCCGCTTTCATTTACCAGCTGATGGAAGGTGGAAGAAGAGGGCCATAAGCTTCCTAGTCCTTTTGTTTCCTTCTATAGAGGCTTTCCATGTTTAGAGGGAGGCAAAAGGCTTTGCTTTTGATTCCAGAGGTAAAATGCCAAGGAAAGAAAGCCCACAGCTCTGTCCAGTCATTATCTGGTTTTACAGTCATTGCAACCTAGAGGTGAAAAGCCGAAGGATCTTTCAATCAGCCCAGTTCCTGAATAGGCTAAATCCACCTCCAATCAAACGTTGTTCGCTTGTCTTATTTCTGGAGCATCACCTTCAGCCAAATGCAACTGTGCAGCGTAGGAAATGAACACCCGAGGCCTCACCCACTCCCAGGTGAGACAGAGTGTGGGGTGACTCTGAGCTGAGCATTCCCCCCTTTTACCTCTTCCTCTCTCCTAACTCCAACAAGAGGAGAGCATTTCACACGATGCCAGGCAAGTACACAGCTCTTGACCTGGGTGTCAGGGAGCAAAATTTTGACACTTACTGGAAATTTTAAGAGAACATCTTTCAAAAAACCCTCAACTGTTGTCTATGTTGGTTTCAAAGAATGATTCTGGCAGTCTTCTGTGTTTGCTGTGATATTGGTTGAGGTACAGCCATCACGCTCACTAGAACATTGTTTTGGAAGATTTCAGGCCTTTGGTGATTTTGCAAAATGTATAACTCTCTTGAGTTTATCCAACATAATGAAAAAATATGCAAGGTTCTAGTAAGTATTGGCTATTGTGATGTTTTAGGTAGATGTTGAGGCAAGGGCAGGAATAAAGAACTAAAGACACACAATTATTAAAGCTAGCGTATGAACACGCCCTGTTTCAATCACAGGAGCTTTTCTGTCGATCTCAGTTTCTGCTCTTTTTTTTTTTTCTTGTTTGTATGTTTTTGACTCTAGGCTAAGAAGAAATTAATGGTGAGTACCAAGAAGCACGAGGCACTTTTCCAGCTGGTAGAAAGCTCCAAGCAATCCCTGAATGAGAAGGAGAAGCGGAAGGTAAGCAGCTCTCATGGCCGGCTGTGTGCAAGTGGCTTAGAGGCAGATGGCCACACAGAGAACTGGCTGATTCCTCCCTCTCTGCAGGGTCTCAGCGGAGACGTACCTTAGCAGAGCATCAGAAGGGACGATAAATCATTCCTGGCCCATGCTTGTATATATTTTTAAACTTTTTTATTTTTTGAATTTTTTTTTTTTCCAAGACAGGGTCTTGGTATGTTACCCAGGCTGGTTTCAGACTCCTGAATTCAAAGGATCCTCCTGCTCCACCCTCTCAAGTAGCTGGGACCATAGGTGCATGTCACCACACCTGGCCCACATATATTTTTAAAAATATTGATGGTGCCTATGGCTGAAGGAGTAGGGTGTTGGCCCCATATGCCAGAGGTGGTGGGTTCAAACCCAGCCCTGGCCAAAAACTGCAAATAAATAAATAAATAAATAAAATAAATAAAATATATATATATATTATTGACAGATGACAAATGAAACCAATGGTGTCCAAAATTTTTTGAAAGGGAACCCTCTTAATTAAAAAAAAAAATCTCTCAGCTCACCCCCAAAGTAAGTTAAAAAATATATATATACTCTGGCTCTGCACCTTAGTGGTTAGGGCACTGGCCACATACTCTGGGGCTGGTGGGTTCCAACCCGGTCCTGGCCTCCTAAACAATAATGACAACAACAACAACAACAACAAAATAGCTGGGTGTTGTGGCGGGCACCCATAGTCCCAGCTACTTAGGAGGCTGAGGCAAGAGAATTGCTTAAGCCCAAGAGTTTGAGCTTGCTGTGAACTGTGATGCCACAGCGCTCTACCGAGGGTGACATAGTGACATTCTGTCTCAAAAATATATATATATTTCATAAATGTTGTATGTTATGCATAGTACTTTATAAATTATACTAATATAAATATTTTACAGCATAAAAGTAGAAATGTTTGCAGCATGAGATAAAGATGAAATAATATTTTAGATTATTAGCTAACCATGATGCCTTTGTATAATTATTAAGTAATGTTTCTAGGCAAAATAAACACTTGGAAGAAACCTTAGCCATAGTAAATATAAATGCATATTTTTAATGGTCCTCTTGATAATTTTAAACTTTTTCATCAGCTTCTCACCAGCCCTCACTAGCCCATTTCGATCTGTGCCTTTCTTGTGGCTGATGACGTGCTTGTAACCAGGAGCAGGAGAGCATGAGCTCTGACTTTTCTGTGGCTTCCTTGTGTTTATTCAGTGGTGACATTAATCTCTAGGTCCTTGGCAGAAATACTTTTAAGATGTTTGTACATTTTGCGTATGTTTACCTAAGTGGAGCCAGATAATAAGCCTGTAAAGCCTCTTGATCCAGGCACCTGGCAGTGGCCACATGTCCCTGGAAGCTGGAGGTGAAGACACTAATGAGGCCTGGTTGCCGAGTCCCACCCTTCCCCCAGACTGCTTCAGAATTCATTACTATCCATGTGTGATACCAATGGGACTCATATATTAAAAAAGAGTAAGCTTGATGACTGTTTTTAAGCAAAAAGGACCAGCAATAATATTGGGGTAGAGGAATAAAATCAAGATCAGTGACTCACGTCTGTAATCCTAGCAATTTGGGAGGCTGAGGCAGGAAGATTGCTTGAAGTTAGGGGTTCAAGATCAGCCTGTGCCACATAGTGAGACCTCATTTCTACAAAAAATAGAAAATTTGGCCAGGTCAGTTACTTGAGAGGCTGAGGCAGGAGGATCACTTGAGCCCAAGAGTCAGACAGTGCAGTGAACTATGATGATACCACTGCCCTCTAGCTCAGGCAATAGAGGGACACCCTGTCTCAAAATAAAAAACTAAACAAAACAACAACAACAAAAAACCAAGACCTATTTTCTGTTTATACCCCACCTCCTGTGATATGTGCCTCAGATTAGAAAACTTTGAAATAGTCTCTATTCTTCTCCAAAAGATAAGAGTTCCCCTAAGGAGATACAGCCAGCACCACTGCATGCCAACTGTTCTTAAAAGGAAAAGGAAATTTCATTGCAAGTCGTTCTCATTTCATCCAAGAAACTATCAGTTGAATAACTTAAATTAATTGTTAGCAAGATTTTACCAGGTTCTTACTTCTCCATGTGTTAGTCCTCACAGTTGGAAATGATCATAATCAGGACTGAGTAATGAGGCAGCTTCCAGTGAGGCTGACCCCCAGTAAGTTAAAACACAGAGCACCTGCCCTGCTGGGGGCCTCCGGAGCCCTCATCAGAAGCTATTCTTCACTGATGTCAACTACTGACAAAGGGAAACCAAGAAGAGAATTTCTTCTTCCTACCCTCAGGAACAGCTCCCCCAGGAGGCCAAAGTCCACACTGCAGCTGCCTCGTCCAGCTGGTCTTGTAACCACAGCCTGAGCTGTCATCCATCACACTGCTCAGTCTGGAAGGCTGAACACCCAGGTGGCATTCACTTTCTGCTCACACCTGGTCTCTGAGCCGAGCCTCTTGGTTTCTTGCCCGGTGTCTTGGTCCTCACCAGAGCTGATGGAAACCTCTGTGCTCCTCTCACCTCCACCCACCCACTCCAGTAGGCTATCTGGCCTCCTGCCCCAGAGCAAACAGAAGTCAGCACTGCTACCTACTGACCAATGGCATCTGCAGCAGAGAGGCCTGTCCATCTTGTGCTCTGACTCTGACCCGTCCTGCCTCCCAGAGGCCCACTCTTCATTACCTCACTCTCTCTAGAATCTCAGACCGCCCCGCTCTAATGGTGCCTTCCCACCCGCCTTCTCAGCTCCAGGTCCGAGTCAGTCCTGGCTGCTATAACCAAGTACCATCATTGAGGTGGCTTCAAAAATGGACATTTATTTTTCACAGTTCTCAAGGCTGAAAGTCTGAGATCAGGGTGCCATTTGGTGAGAAACTTCTTGTAGGCTAGAGACTGCCAAGTTCTAGTTATAAACTCACATGGTAGAAAGAGGGCAAGGCAGCTCTCTGGGGTCTCTTTTGTAAGGGCACTAATCCCATTCATGAGAGTTCCACCCTCATGATCTAATCACCTGAAGTCTCCAGTCCTAATACCTCACATTGAGGTTAGCACTTCAACATATGAATTTTGAGGGATCATAGACATTCGTTCCACTGCACCCCCTATCTTGGGACAGTGGGGAGAGTCAGGAAGCCATTTTTCTGTGGAGTGTCCCGTTCTCTCCACATGTGATCATGATGTCTCCTTTTTACACTAACTTAGAGAAGGGGTTATCTCTGCACTGTGTCCAGTTTCCCATCTCCTGTTCACCAAGCCACTAAGAAAGTTCTTGCCTTCAGAAACAATGTCTGTCTTATTGCTAAAGAGGCACTTTTCAATTCTTCCTCTATTTGACTTTTAAAAAGTACTAAGCATCTCTTATTTCTCTTTTCTATAAAATTCTCTTCTTTTAACATTAGCATTACCTCATGTTTCCCCCCTCCTCTTCTGTACTTTTTATCTTCGACTTCTTTATGGACTCCCCTGTCCCTGCCTGACCTTTATGGATTGCACTCTCGGAACATTTCTCTCTTGGGCCTCACTCTGTTTTATTCACCATTGTATCACCAGTGTCCAACATGGTACTCTTGATATCAGCTACTCAATAAATATATTCTCAAGGCTTCAAGGACTGTATCTGTGCTGACAATACCCAAATTTACATCTCCAGCCCCGACCAATCTCTAACCTGCTTTTTGGCAGTTGACCTCAACATGCAAAATTAGACCCCTCTCGTCGCTCTATCAAGGATAAACTTTGTTCCTGTGTTCTGTATATTACCATCCACTGTACCCTCCCAATTCTAACTCTTACACCAAATACTCTTGAGTTTGTTTGCTTGTGTCTATCTCCACTGCTGATGTGCTCTCCCGGGCCACCACCCCCTCTGCCTGCTTTGTTGTAACCAGCAAACTGGTCTTTTTGCTCTCAGTGTTGCCTGTTCTTATCCATGCCCCATGTACAAGCCAAGCTGGCTTTTCAGACGCTTGAATCTGAGCATTCCAGTCTCCTTTTAAAAGCCTCAAAGGCTTCTGGGTGACTTCACATTAAAGTTTAAACCTCTTTATGTGGCCCTTAAGACCTTTTCTGACTTGACCGTTGTCTATCTCTTCAATGTCATCTGTCACTTCTTTCCCTCTCAATCTGTGTCATCCAACCCCATCTAAAAGTTTCTTCTGTATGATGCCAGGCATTTTTGCCTTATCAATTCCTACCTTTACATTTATTCACATGAGAGTCAGTTTCTTTTTTGAGCACTTACTAGGTGCCAAGTTACAGCTTAATGTCATTTTAATTGCAAGGCTGGGTAACTGTCTCTCCTGGTGCCCTAGTGATCCCTAAGTATTTCTACCATCCTGGGATCTAGCACACAGGATGGCAATGGCCTGTGTGGCTGGTCTAGCTCCTTTTTCTATCCTCAAGGCCTTGCACATGACACATTAAGGGCACTCCATGTCTGGTGAATCAATGAGATGTTTGTTCTAAGAGAAAGAGGGAATTCAAGCTTTGACAAGTTTGAGGAAAGATTTATAAAAAGTTCCTTAAATAAACATATATGAGTCTTTCTTTCTTAAAGGGAGACCTGGGAGAAAAAAGAATATAGGAATCTACATTCTTCATATGTATATATATGCTGGAACTATTTGTTGTAAATTGACTGAGCTTAAAATTCTAGTCAACAGCTCTAGAGGATAGCCTGTGAGTATAAATGGTGCCAAAAGTGACTAAGTTCTCATCCTGGGGGTCTGAACATCCTCAGTGAGCATCTAAGGACAGTGATTTAGCAAAGTCCAACCATGAAACCCTTTGAGTCCTTTCACTGTATTATCATCAGATTAAAATTCATAAGCTCATGTTTCTACAGATGGCTCTGGTTCATTACACTTGATATACAAAACCAAACATGCTCTGTGTAGGTCACACATCAGAGCCCAGGGACAGTTGAATAGCTAGCATATCATTAGAATAATAAGGTAAGTGGCACTAACACTTAGCACTTTAAATGAATGTTCTTCATTATTGTAACATTAGTCAAACGTCCTTAAACATAAAGGTCAACCTGAAAAGCTTAGGTCTCTGCCCTTAAAACTTTAAAGCTGCGGCAGTGGGGAGGGGAGCAGTCCTTGATGTTCCGTAAAGAGTGGTGTGAAGACTATTTGCATCAGAATCCCTGGAGAAGATAGTCAAAATTCTGATTTCTCAATACCACTACAGAGCCACTGAACCAATATTGCTACTTGTAGAACTCTGGAATTTTCAGTTTTACAAGCTCTTCAGGTCCTCTCTAGACATGCCAACGTTTGAGAACCATTTATATAATCCAACTTTCTCATTTCTCAAAGACATGAAATTACTTATCTGGGTATTTTGAGAGTGAATTTTAGCTACCCTGGTCCAGGAAGTTTTGTATTACTGTACTTTGATTTTATGGAAGATTTAACAATCAGAATGGGAAATTTGGGTGATAGATGAGAGGGGGCTCTGTGTGCTGGAGCAGATTAGAGGGGAGCAGAGGGAGAGGAAACCATCTGCAAGCTGCTCACAACTTCCAGTGAACACTGGCCGTGCGTGTGCAGTTTTTCACTGGTAATAATTCTCCTTGCTGATCACTGAGTGCTACACCAGCTGCTGGGCTGTGTGCTATGCGCCTCACGTGTGGCACCTACTTAGATCCTCAAAGCAACCCCGCCAACTACGAGCATCATTGTCTCCATCACAGAGATGAAGAAACTGGTTCATGAAGGCTGACTTGTCTGCAGGACTCTAATTCTACAAGTCTGAATCCACAGCTCTACTGCTGGGTTTATATAATGAAAGTAAGACAGGACAGTAGCCAGGCC